GGCTGGCCAAGGTATTGTATGAAGTGGGAAGCTGCAGTTACTTCCACTGAGAGACACACTGTTCCACATGTTGCATGCCACTGTGGCCCTCCATGAGCTCTAGACATTGAGTAGGTGTTTGGTGTGTTTAAAAAACAAAATGAAACACAACAAACTACAATATGAGAGGGCTGGTCTCCCTTGCAGCTGTAAGAAATGAGACTTGCAGTGGTCTGTCAGTTACTGGGTATGTAATCTAGTAGACTACTAAAATTCACAAGATTATCTTGTGAAGTCACCTTATTTGCTTGATTGCGAGGGAGTTATGCCTAAATCTGCAGTGATGGAACCAGGTCAGCCCCACAGGAGATGCCAGGATGTTTATTCTGATGCCAGGTGCAGCCATGTACTGTTTGTCCTTATCACAGTAATTTTTCTTCCATCACTTCCTTGAGACTCGACCAAGGCAACATAGAGAGTTGTCAATGTGTAGGTTAGAGTGAAATCAGTAAAGAACACTTGCAACTATTAAGTCTGATGTTTGGCAGTTTATTCCCAAAGCTAACAAGTTAAATCATGACAATTCCTTCTATGATCATCTCCGTGCCCAAGTTGTGAAATAAATTATGAGGTCAACATGCTGCTGCTGGCAGAGGGGTAACAGACAAGGTTGTCTGAAAAAAATCAGTTTAATTAACTGCTTCTAAAATAACTGGCCTGCATATTAATGGTGTCCCTCTTATTAATTAGGCAGCACTAAAATACTGTGTTGAATAGTCTGTTGTAAGGGTGAAGAGAATTCACTTGTTATTTCAGGAAGGGTTTTTTCCATTTCCTCTCTCAGCCTTAAACAGTCCTTGCCAGGCTCGAATGGGAACAGGAAAATATTGTTGTTTCTGTCTTGAGGTTTGCCACTCTCAATTTGCCTGGATGCTTTTCAGTTGTAATTATGTAGCTATGATGAATGCTAAATGATAGAATGAGACCACTTAACTCCGGTAGGTTCCTGAGGCAGCCAGTGTTGATTGAGGGGAGTCATGTTGAGTTTCATTGGGACAGTTACACAAGGACAGTCGTCCCAGCACACAGAGCTGAGAGTCTTAGTCTTTTGGCACATACTGAATTCAGCACCTCCTTCACTTTCACCCTCTGCTTTTTAATAGTAATAGTCAAAATCATGTGTTCCACTGAGGTGGGTGGGTCTGTTGGGGGAGCAGTTAGTGTTCACCTCTATTTCCATGCACTCTAATACATGAGTAACCTGTGGTAGAAAACTGGTAAATTTAAGAATGAAGTAAAAGATGACTGGAGATGCCAGAACATGTTAATGTGAAGATAACCAGAGCAGCAATTGCTAAACTCACTGGGTGTGTCCACTTGTTGTGATGGATCCTCTCCTAGTAATTGTAGAGGAGCTGGTAATCATTAAGACTCATAACAGAGCTCCAGGCAGAAGAAGCTGTGAAGTGAGAATTTAATGCAGTGAAGCATCTTGTTCTGCGGAGCAAAGATTTAGAACAAAGGTTGCTCCTGTAGTAAGCATCTTTGCAGAACTGCTTTAGCAAAGCATTGTGTTTCTTTAGAGAGGATTCAGGGATGATTCTGGGGAAAAAACCAATTACAAACATACTGCTGAAGAGAGGATGCTACTATTAAAAGTGCAGCTATGCAGAGGCATGTAAGCCATGTTTGCTTCTGAGACAGCCCCAGAGAAACAGCTTTTGTTGAGAATGTATATACCATGAACAACTATTCTAAACTTGCAGCAGAAATACATGCTGAGGGCTTGAGCCTGCTGTAGGTAATCTTTTAGAGACCTTCCACTGGGGGGGTTAGTTACAGTTATATCACTTGTTTAAGTCGTGTTGCAATGATTGATGACACGTTAGTAAAAGAAGAAAAACATGGACTGCATGTGTAGCATCACTGTTTTTATTAGTTTGATAGCCTTGCCATGGATTGTCATCAGTCTGAAGAAAGCAGTTAATCCTGTCCACAAGAGTGCACGAGGAGACCAGTCTTCAGCCAAGGAACAGCAGCTTAACTCTACCACCTTCAAGCCCAGTCAGAAGATCTACAGCCTTATCCTGATGAAAGGCTCACCAAATTATTTTTGATACGTATCTAATGTGCAGCTGATAATTTTTAAACAAATATAACCAGAACTACAGGTAGCTAGAGGTGAAAAGCCCATATGATATAACTACATTTTCACATTCAGGAATCTCAGAGGGAGATAATAACATCTCAGGTGAACTTGTGTACAAGGGTTCTGCCACACCCTCTCTCAACCACTCCATGCTGGCAAGCTTTTACTCAGTGCAGAGACCAAAAAACTGTGACATGATCTTTAAAAAGGTATTTTCAGAAAGCTTTATTGAATATGTTTGAATTTGTTACAGCATCGGCAAATTAACATTTTGCATTAGCCCATTTTACACTTTCAAACCAGTTTTGCACAGTTCTAAGAACACTGTACTACCATCTTACAGGACAAGTAACATTTGTAAGCAAGCATATATAGTGCTGAGTTGTGACTGTGAGTGGCCTGAAGACAGGGTTGCTTTGTCAGATGACACCACAGGGAAAGAAAACAGATCTCTTGTAACACTGTTATGCTGGTAAACCAGATAGCTTGTCCAAAGCCTCTTCCCTTCTGCTATCTTGACCAAAAAAAGCCAGACGTATCCCTATGCTATTATTCTGTTGTTCATCCCAAAGTAGACACTAATTTTAGGCTTATAGCAACTCTGGTGGTAATTAAGGAAATTTGTTCATTTATTATGGAAGTGAGACAAATTCACTTTACATAGACTAGCACAACTTTGTGCAGATGCTATTACATGAGAAAATAATTCTATCTATGATTCTTAAGTCCAACATTATTATTTAAATTACTTTCTTGCATTAATTTCCTAGGAACTTTGTATGTCTACCTTGTGCAATCAACTTTCCTGTAGCCTTATTTGTTAAATCCACGGTGGCAAATGCCAGAGTTTTTCCTTGCTTCAAAATCTGAGCTGTAATCAGTATCTCTTCTCCAATCTTAGCCGCAGAAGTGTATCTTCAAGGAAGAACAAAATGAACAGGTAAGAGGCTGTACAGAGGACAAATCCAAGAATATTCCTGCATTTTAGATTATCATGAAGGGAATTAGCAAAAGTGAGTAATAAAGACACATCTCTCTGCCTGGCTGCTTGCAAATCCCCTTCTTAAAGTATCTGAGCTCCTTTGAGTACTGGCAGTGGTAAGTACAAGAGTTCTCTGAGAGAATGGAGCAAAGAAAGAAACCCATTGGCTTGGTTCTAAGGAAAAGTCCACTTTGGAACAGAAACAATTAGGTATCCAAGACCTCAGCTACAAGTCCTATTCCAACCACTGCTGGCTCCCTACAGCCTTTCTGAACTAGTTTGGCTGCTTCCTCTGCAAAGTGTCATTGTTTCAAAGGCTCCAGGAGGTCATTTCTGTATGGAACCTATTGCTTAGGTTAACTCTTTTCCATACCTTGGTGGGAGGAAGGTCATGGAAATCTGAGTGGCCCTCAAACACAGTTTTCATTCGTTAGATAACTCTGTATTTACATGAGCAGAAGGATGTGCTTTTAAAACACCGTCTTTGGGGAATAGGAAGGAATTCCCCACAAAGAGCCTGGAAAGAATTAGAAGGCATATGTTCCAAACATGATCTGAGGTAAGGGAACAATATTCAAATATTAGAACTAAGGAGGAGAATGTAGAATTGCTGAATATAAATGTTATTGAGATAAATTTCATCAACCAGTCCATTTTTATACATGACACCATGTCAAAAGTATGTCAGTCGTGCTAGCACAAGCTCCATTAGTTGACAAGGGCAGGGTTTCAGCCTTGTCACATTCCCAGAGGCTGCTGCTGATCCTCTTGTGGTTACGAAAAAAAGGTTCTCTGTTTCTCTCTGTTCTTTCCATTACTGAAATAGCTTCCTCGTGACAACTGTTAAAAAAGCTCCTTCCCAAAAAGGCAAAAAGTTGTCTCATAGCAATAGTCAATATCCAGTCTTACTTGTTCAATGAAAGCAGTAGTCCAGGTTAAACAAAGCTTTTAATACTGCTTCACATAACATTGCCTAAAGGTGATTTTGGATCACCTTCAGAGACAGCATGTTGAGATTTTAGCCCTTATGAAAGTGGGTGGGCATACTCAATAACGTAAATCAGATGTTGGCCTCTTGTTGTACTACTGTATGGAACAAAACATAATCATGGGAGAATTCCAGGTTTTAATTTCCAGTTAGATCCTAGTCATCAGTGGTATTGTAAAGCTTAAATAGGTGCTCCAGCCCCTTCTGCACAGTGGAGAAAACAGAAAGTGCTGGGGGAGAAAGGTGGGAACCTGGTAAAGATACAGATCATTCCTCACACACTTTTAAAGTTGGGTGTTTTTTTAAAGACAGTATTGATGAGGGGCTACTTTTCTAAGATTTTTAATGCTGTGTTAGTTATTCCAAGTAGGATTACTTTAGTTCCAATCAGTTATAATCTCTTCATTAAAAATAATGAAGCAAACCTGACAAGCTATAATAGCATGATCAAAGAAAGTTTCAAACCAACTATTTTGTTTAAAGACACCATGCTTTAAATTTGCAGTACAGGAAGAACTATTCTCAGTATAAAACTATCTCAAAATGACCTAGAGCAAAGGCATCTTCCTCCACTGAGAAATTCTGATTCAATCTGTAATTCACCCTCTATATGAGCAGACAACAGAGTTAACTTTCCTGTTTTAATATTTTTCCTGTTTTAACATTTTGGGGACTGATACTAAAAAAGCTTTTATAGAAAGCTGCTTACCCCAGATCTTGTTTTTTGAGAACACATTAACATATCGTCACCAAGACTGAAGCTGAATCAATTTCTTAAGACTAAAATTGACAACATACTTTTACATTCTAGGAATGAATGGGCACCATCTCTTAAACATATATAACAAGTAAAATCTTAAGTCCAGCTCAAATTTTGCAACCAAAGGACAATGTCTTCAAATACACATATGCTCCCCTTAATTTATCAAAACAGGACTTCTGAAACCAAAGAAAACACCTTTCTTAAGTGAGTGCCACAGCAGAAAAACTATGTATAATGGCGTCAATAGAAAAGTTAGTATGTTTTAGTAAACACAGTGGATGATACCTACGTGATGTTCATGTCCACGCTGACCCCAGGTGCTGCTCTTTCTGTGTACAGCAATGCTGCTGTTGACACCACATCCACAAGTGTGGCTGTCAAACCTCCATGCAATGTGCCACCTCTGTTTGTATGCTCCTCCTCTACTTTCATTTCACAAACAATTTTTCCAGGAGTTGCAGAAAGAAGTTTCATCTATATAACCAAAAAAATGAATAAAAGGTTTACTGGCAATAGTACCAATACCCAATATCACTCTGAATCAAATTGAAAGTAAATCTTTAATTCTGGACCTGTGAGACAAATTAAAAGATGGAAAATACAGTAGTTCAACTGTCACATTAGGTATTTCCATAAATTTTGAGCAGAGGCCTGTTGCTTTAGAAGAGTCAGTATTTCTAGTGCAGATAAATATTTAAACTGACAGCTTAACAAAACGTCAATACTTGCTATGCTGTCAGGAATTCCTTAGGAGGCAACATTCTTCTTCAAGTCTTCCCTTGGCTTTAATCTGCAAGTGAAAGGCCAGATCAGAGGGAACATAAAACTGCTCTATGTGAGTACTGTGGTTGGGAAGGCCTATTTGTTAACTCACAAAATGGAAATGAGACTACTGGCAATTCATTAATTATTATACTAGAGCAACCTCAGTAAAGATCACTATTTTGAAATGAGCACTGAAAATACTAATCAGATTGGCCTCCCTGAAGTTCATATTCCTGGGCAGAAGCACACAAGGCTGTATCACACTGTTACAGCATCATGATTTGCATATACACTTTTATTGCAGCCCATAGGTGCTAAATACAGAATTACAGTACATCCATGTACCATGCTTCCCTCTGTAACCAACACAAGGAGCTGGAATTTTTGAGACCAAGAAGTTACTGCAATTCAGCATTTTAACACCTTTGTTCAAGTTTCCTCTGTTAGTAGCACTATATTCAAAATCTGAAAGCAGGTGCAAAACTGGGGTAACCCATATATTCACCCCTACAACTAAGACTTTGAAATACTTTTAGACTATTAAAAGTGAAATGTGGATTTATTTATTATAATTCCTACTAATTTTCAAAATTTTTACAAAGGGCTTTTTTTGTAACTTGCATGTTTCCATACCATTATCAGCTGAGATGGTTTTAACATTTTTTAATCTTAAAAGGTATTAAGATTGAAATGTCTCCAGTTTCATTACTCCTTATTTATAATGCTATGAGAGAGCCCAGTTTCAGCCAATGTTGCTTTCTGATTAGCCGAAGTTTATCCAAATTCTGCAGAGAAATGACACTAAGGTCAATGAGGATGGAGTATAGAGTCTGTCTATGAATAGAAAAAGCTGGGATTAAACAGAGGAGAAATCACTGAGGCAGTGTCCTAACAGAAATAGCATCTTGATCAATAAAACCCCCAAGTCCTAAACCAGGCATGCTGCACTGCTCTCACTGGTGGCCTAAGTTTCTGACAGAACTCCCAATGAGGGAGGACTTTAATGATGCTTGACACTGGGAGCAGATGGTTTCCACATCCATCAGGGAGTGCTCCAACCTACCAGCGAGGCAAGGAAAGCATCTGGTTCCATTTGTCATTGCTCTGATCTGGCACTAGGTGCCTGTTCTCCTTGACTAAAATAGTGCAGTACCTGAACACTTCCAGGACCTACACAGCTAGAGCTGCTGGTCTGTACTTCTCACAGCTGTCCTGGGCCTGTCCTCCCACGTGCTGCTCCAGCTTCAGCCACTACTGCCATCTACTACTTCTCTGAAGAAAGGGCCTTAAACCCCACAGTTGTTAAGCCCTATGTAGATACCACGTTGGAGTTAAACCAGGAACTAAATCTGATGCTGGAGCTGAAAAGTTTCAGACTAAAATCTGTCTTCCTCAGAATACAAAAAATCTCGAGTCATTTAGTACAAAGATTTCAGGTGTCTCCCAGAAAAACAGCAGTTAGTTTTAATTCAAACAAAACTGTACTTTTATTGTTATGATTAGGTTCATGGATCCTCATTTTGCAAGAAGATTGCAGAAAAAGCCTGAAAGTATTCCAGAGCAAGGCAGGAAGCCTGTCTGCCATGGCTCATGTCCAACTAGTTACCCTCATGAGCTCAAATGCTGCATTTGCTTTTCACTTAGCAGGACTTTAAGGCAAAGGAGAGTGAAGTTGTCACAGTGAAGAAGTGACGAAGTGGACTCTTTATAAATAAATGAGCTTCTTAAACCTTAAGCTTTAAGCTTTACATGCCTTGGAGAAACAAAACAATAAGAATTGCTTTGCAAATAGTTGTATTGGAGCTGTCAACAAAAGCACATTACATTTGCTCCTCTGCAATGCAAAGCATAGACATTTTGACATGGTTGGTTTTCTTAGATGTATTTACTGCATCACTCCATGTCAGTTGCACAAATAAACAGAAACTAAATGGAGGATTGTAGCACTGCAAAACTTAAGGAGAACACTCAACAGGGCTGTGCTCACAGGGTTACACTACACAGTGCACAGCAACATAACACAGTAACATTCAAGTTTTTTTGAACGTAATGTAGCATGACATTAAGCAGCACCAGTCAAATAAATTTCTTTATACCATAAGCCATAGTGCACGGCCTTGCATAGAAGCTCAGAGAGCACCAAGGCACTTGTGCTTTCAGCGTGACTTCAGGCCAAGGTGTGAGATGTTATAATCAGCTACTTGTTCATCTTTAAACTGGGAAGAGTAAGGTATTTATTTCATAACTTATTTTACAACTTCACAGCCCTGGAAGTTAGCTTCTTCACACAGGCACTGCGAAGGGAAGAACACCCGTTAGGACGTGACTCCTGAAGGTTATTCAGCACAGCTCTCACCTTCAGAGAGCTGCTGGCAGGCAGCAGGAGTATTTAACGAGGATTACTGAACAACAACTCTATTTTCCACACCAAGTTACCACCAGGGCCACACATTCTCGCCGGGAGATGTCGAGTCCGAAGGGGACACGGTG